GGGGAGAAAAAAAAATCACAATAAATTAACGAAGACTCAGAAACTGTTTTAAATGCTTGGATTCATTGGAGCATCTTTTAGAGCACCTTGCAAAACCTGTGCAAACTTAGTTTGGCTTCGTTCTGAGTCTTTGTTAATTGTGCATTTCTTTCTCCCCCATAGGAAAGCATGGAGCTGTCAAATTTTGACAGCTGTCAAAAGTTGGTGGGGGGAAAAATTCAGCAAAAATTAACAAAAAAGTCAGATCAAAGCCAAATTAAGTTTGCACCCATTTTAGAAGGTGCACTAACGATTCCAAGCATTTAAAACAGTTTTTGAACCTTTTAAGACACACTTAAATTTGCAAAAATGGACATCGCAAAACCATTGAAATGCATTGAATAGGCTTCAATGCATTCCAATGGAGGAAACATTGTATCGCTTAACGATGTTTCCTATGGGTTTTTTCGCTTAAGGACGGCAATCCGTGCCTATTAACCAGTTTTCAATGCATCTCTATGGGAAAACGTGTTTCACTTAATGATGTTTTCCCCTAGCGATGTTTTTTTGGTACCAATTAACATCGTTAAGCGAGGCACCACTGTAAATGCAGTAGGACTGCAGTATACATGAGGAATTGGTTCCAAGCTGCCCTACAGATGCTTAAAAATGCAAAAAATATCAAATGATATATATTGCATGGTTTCTGACTCCCTCTAGTAGCCAGATCTGGTAAATTCACCCTGGAAATATATATAAATACACATTTCTGAGGTTTTTTTATTTAGTATTTTCAGGCAGAGGATAAATGAATCAGCAGATACTGATCCCATGGATAGAGGGGCCGTACTCTACCTCTAATTCTAACCTAATCATGTGGTAATAGTTAATGGCACTAATTTACTCCCTTTATAAAATTAGTACTACACTGTACTACACCTATGTGAATGCTCCTCCTTCTAAATGGTTTCATACATAGAGAAATGTAGAATGCCTTCTTCCTGACACACTCATTTTCTATGTGTAGGTTTTTCCCCCCTTGGGTCTTCTACAAGACTACAAGTCCCCCTTGGACTTCCACTAGGATTCAACAGGAATACAGTTAGGAATAACTATCCCATAATTGCTACAGTTTATTTAGACAAACAAACAAACAAACAAACAAACAAAATAAATAAATAAATAAATAAATAAATAAATAAAGGTAAAGGTTCCACTTGACACTTTTTATTCCAGTCATGTCCCATTCTAGGGGGCAGTGCTCATCCCGTTTTCAAGCCGTAGAGCCAGCGCTTGTCCGAAGACAGTTTCCGTTGCCACGTGGCCAGTGTGACTAGGAAAGGCCATTTTACCTTCCCACTGAGGTGGTGCCTATTTATCTACTCATATTTGCATGCTTTCAAACTGCTAGGCTGGCGAGGAGCTGGGACAAAGCGACAGGAGCTCACTCCATTGCGTGGATTCAATCTTATGACTGCTGGTCTTCTGACCCTGCAGCACAGGCTTCTGTGGTTTAGCCCACAGCACCACCACGTCCCTCCACAGCGCCAGTATTTCCAAAATGCTTACAAAATGTTATAATGACTGGAGAACTGAATTATCTTCTTCAGTTCTATGTGGAAAACAACCCACTAGGATACCAGAGTTATCAAAGTTAATTCTGTCTCCTGCACTGTAACTTTATAGACACAGAATATGTTTCACAGGGGATACACTAAGGAGCAGCCTTAGGGCAGACATCAGCATATACAAGAGAACAGCATGAACTGCACTGCTTAGTGAAAATTTCTAAAGAAGCTAAGGAACTCTAGCTAGTGTAGGACTGACTTCCTAAATCAATCTCATCTTAAATATAAGAGCACTGGCCAAATTTTAAAGTACACAATTATTGGAACAGGGTAGAAGATGATACAATGGACACACTGTATTCATTGCAGTCTGTTTCTAAGCTTGAACATCTGAGCTCAAATATTGTCTTCAGCAATTCATTGATTTTTATAAAATACTCTTTGAATTGCACCTCCCATGATTCTCCAAAATGACAAATTTTGTACTTCTTGTCTAATCCGGATGTCTTGGGTGTAATTCTTCCTAGCAATAGGCCAAGAATGGAAGTTGTATAATGTTATAGATGGTACATAATAAAGTGAAAAACTGCAAACAATTTTTAACTGAAAAACTAGAAACAAAAAGAATCAAAGATGCACAAAGAAAGATAAATGAGAAAGCAAGGATGTAACACCCCAACAGTCCAATGAGTCCAGGATCATTTAACTTGCCATAAGTGCTCCTGTATCTTCCACGCTTGTGTCGGGCTAGTTAGTCATGTGCATAACCATCAGTGTGCTACTATTCAACCTTAACCACTCACTTCTTTTTCTTCTAAATGATAAATCAGATGAAAATGGTCTTCTTACAAAACAAAGGATGAACAATAGTGAACAATAAGGATCTGAGAGGAAATGCCAAGCTTCAAATGCCAAGTGCTGAAATCTAGCACTTGTTTCATAGTCAATCTTTAATCACTTCACTTTGAGTAAGATCTGCTAAAAATGAGCATGACACCAATGAGTATGATCTAGTCAAAGGGAGAAATCTAGAATCTGAGGTCACACAAAATAGGCCTATTTCTAGTTGTTACACATTCTATGTCAGAGTAGATCTTAACCTTTTTTTTCTCAGACTGAAAAATCTGATTATTCTCATTAAAAATGTGGATCTAAGCTGAGAATACCTTTTTGACAGAGCTTCTACAAATACTCTAATGTGTCCCATGGTGGTTTCAAAAACTCAACTTGCTAATTAATATATGCTTTGATCATTATTTAACAATTGCATTCTCTACTTTTTATACATAGTATAATCTTTCATCATGCATGAAAAAAATTAAGGCAGAAATATGTTACATTTCTGGACCAACCCTCTTCATATTTTCGATGTTTCAGGCCATGTTACTAGGTCTGTGCAACATAAGAAAATGAGCAAAATAAAGAACAGAATATGAAGTATGGTGCAAAGATATGCTGATGCTGGCAGTGCTTCAAAGTTTACACTGTGAAGCAGCAATAGTTCAGGAAGGATCATTTTGATAACCTGCCATTGTACCCAGAATCAGTGAACTGGAGTACCTGCCTCCCAAGAGAAGAGCTAGCCTGTGTAGCTTTAGGCAAAGCTGAACAGTGCCACCAGAAGGGGGCTGTTAATCACTTCTGAGTATTTTATATCTCAGAAGCCCTGGCAAGGGCCACTGTTAAAGTTTGAATCAACTCGACAGCACACCATTATTACTACATAAAGTGGTCATTTTGTACTAAACCTATCACTGAGAAGTTGTGTAGTGCTTGTTCACAAGATATGAACAAATGACATCTACCATCAAAATATGACATTAACTCACCATTTGTGTCCAGATGCTATCTTATACCACAGGCTTCAAACCAATGGGTCATCAAATTAAAGTAATTTTGGCCGAATCCTCCTGTGAAAAACCATGCACACAAAGATTGGCAGTTCCCACATCCCCCAGCTGCACCTGTTTTCTCAACCAGCATGCAACTGGTCCACAAAGAACAGGCTGCCAGAGGGAGGGTATCACTTGTATAGTTATCCTTCCATTCAAGATTGACTCAACGAGATTCTAACCGTAGAATTCAGTACTTATTTCTGTGCAGTCCTAAACAAGTTAACTTGAAAGGAAATTACCCCAGATTCAGTGAGACTTGACTTCTAGTTACTGTCCTTAGGAAACTGTTTGTCTAAAACAGAGCAAATCTAGATATGCAAATAAATCAATGTTACCTTCTCAATTCAATATAGCTGTACAATGACATGTGCTTATGATTACATGGTTGCAGTACAACTTGTGTCACCACCTTGCTGGGAGTTTAAAACTTCCATTCGTCCAGCCTGAATCGCCAATAATACAGGACACCGGAAGTTGGATACGGACAACATCTGGAGGGCCACAGGTTGCCACTCTTGCTTTCCAGTTTTTAGCAGACACTTAAAATAGCCGGCATATTTGCCGAACAACATAACGTATGAAGAAGTGCTCGCTTCCTTCAAAAATGTATTAGTGTGATTACTGTACAATAGAATAGTCAATACATGCTTGTTTAAGGTTTTAAGCTTACTAGAATTAATGTATATTCCAAATAATGCCTTCAAACATACTGGACAATCACTGCATGATACTGCAATACTTTATTTGGGAGTAACAATGCCCCTTCATATTTTGCATATCGCACCCTGGAGATTCTCAGATCTAGCTTTAACTGACAATCGGGTCACAGAGCAACAGGTCTTTTTAGCATATCTGAAGATGTGATTACTACACAGCCTAAAGCAGGGAAGCTGCCATTGCCTGGTCTCTCAGTTCAGTGGCAGATATAAAGCTAAAGGGGAGCTCTCCAGATTGCAACCTAGCACCCTCATAGTTTGTCACTGAGAGGCTGAAAAGAAAAAGAATGCAAGTTGCTGTAATGCCAGGAAGGGAATGGCAGAACGACAGAAGTTAGATATAGGACATTTCCACCAAGCAAAAACAATGGAGAACAGATTCTCATTTACTTCTCTGATGGGCAAAATCCTCATTAGGGTATTTGTAGCCATATTGATTTCTACTAGTATTAATTTTTACATAATGTGTTTGTCATATCCTCCAGAAACTGCAGTCATTTCCTAGTATCTGGTCAATCTCTCACTGTATTACGAAGTTCACTTTGAATAAATATATCACCACATAAAAGAAATGGATGAAAGTCACCTTGAGAGGATTCTACCACATTAAAAATTAAAATAAGACTAAGAAGAATGTGAAGAAGTACTAAGCATTCAAGCTAATCTAACAACCATTTTACACATGACAACAAGGCAATTTTTGGTTCACCATCAAGTACACATTCAAGAGGTTGCTGCAGTCAATCCATTCTCAGGCTGCAAATGCATCTCTCACACTCACACCTTTAAGAATAGATATAAAATAACATCCTTGTTTGTTTAACCAATATTACATGAAGGTGTTACAGCCAAAAGCAAAAGTTTGTTTTATTTTTAAAATTATAGAAGTGTTACTCTAGAAACATAACCTGCAATAATTTTTCTTTCCAAATAAAATCGACAATTTGATATGACATTCACAATACCAATAGCACATTAAAAAATTTATTCTTGGCAACAACATGCCCCCTCTTTCCACCCACCCCTAATAATTGGAGGTGGTGGTGGTGGCGATATGGAGCCAGGTTTGAAAGGGGCAGAGTTGACTCTGATGGAGATGGTATGATCTTGTTTACCTAGTGTCTGTGCAATTGAAAAAGAACAATGGGTTTTTTATCCAGAAGAAAACATTCATCACACATTTTCTTACCAAAATTCCTTTAAGTCTGCTTCATCAAGTCTTTTCCTGTTTCTCCAAGCTCATAAAAGAACAAAAACAAATGTAGCTCATTATTCTTGTTTCAGTCAGTCCAGCTGTCTCCTCTTGTCTCATGTTTGTTAGTCTCTCTTTCTCTCTCAATCATATTTAAAATAGAATCAGCTCCAGGAGTTAGATCAGTCCATATTGATTTGTGCTTACTACCATACTTTGCCACAAAGATGTATTAATATGTGTACTAGAAACACAAAGATAATTTTTTAAAATAGTAACACATACAGGATTTAAATACAAACTTTCAGTAAAAAGCACATAGACAAAAAAAGACTTCTGTTCTTGGTTTGAAATTATCAGAAGAGAATTTGCCCCAGGCTGCCAATCTGCTGCTCCTGTCCGCTTACTGCTAACCAGAAGAGGCAAGGATGCTGGAGCACTAGCAAGTTTTCTGCTACTCGCCACCTGATCCTTTTCTGATCAAGTCACCATAAACTGCAGCTCCGAGGTTATGTGGAAGATTTCACTGCCTGCTCATAGGGTGGGGGTGGGGTGTTGCAATAAGAAGGTGGAGGTGGGTAAACTGGGTTCACTTGCGGAGACTTCGGCTGGACATGATAAGACATAGCCATGGGGTTCATCATAACACCTTCAGGGTCTGGGTAGTACGCCATTCCTGGCTGTTGGGATCCTGAAAGAGGAAGACACATGTCAATACTTGGCACTCGTCTGCACTGCCATGTTTCAAAACTACACTGGGTGGTATTTGTAGTACTAATAGCACTGCATATATCAGCACACCTTAAAGGAATCTCAGAGTAAAACCTAGAACCCACACATAGAAACGCAATATTTTAAATAAATAATATATCTGTCCTTGATCAACTGATGGGAAATGATGTAGATTTCTTGTCTTTTTCCAGCTTAAATATGTTATCTAATATAGATTAAGCTCTGCCTCGGGTCCGCTTGGGGAGAAAAGTGGTGTATTATGGAAAATGAATGGAATGGAATGGACCATCATCAATAAATAATAACTAGCTACATGCTTTCAAATTGATATCAGCAACTGAAACATGTCCTAACGTCAATTTACGTTAAGACATGTTCAGGCCTGTGTGCACTGGCGGACCTTTCTTAGAATAAGTGATTGAATCTGTGTGTATCTCCAACTGTAGTAACATTGTTTAATAGGGATGATGGCCAGAGACTCAGTCCAATTCACAAAGTGTGAGCAGGGTGAAAATTTTAGCCCTGCAGCTGAGAAACAGGAAATGTTCCAAACCACATGGACTAATAAAACTAAGAATCAAAATACTGCCCCTCCCTCTGACACACACACATGTGAACAACAATTTATGGACATCTCTCTGCCTCTAAAACGAGCACCCAAGATAGACCCTAATCTTTATTAGGTAACATTTAAAACAGAAAAAGACAAGAAATATCTACCATTTTCTATCAGTTGACTAAGATAAAGATCTTACTGTTATTCAAATGTTGATGCTAAGCAATACAATGCTATGTCTTCCTTGGCAAAGTTTTTATTGAATCCAATTTCATTCACTGAATTTTATGATTGGACCAGTAAACACTACCTTCCGTTTTAAACTTTTTGTGTTCTCCCGCCATGTCTCCCATCTTTTTTCTTTCCCAAGAAAATCATTCAGGATAAAAGATGGAATTGTTGCACAGTATCTTGTGACTGGTACCACTAGAGGTTGTGTGTTTGGAAGCACATGCTAACTCATATACTGTATAGGCATACCTCAGTTTACAAATTTAATGCGTTCTCCGGGACATTACGTAATGCAAAAAATTCGTAAACCAAAACACGGATTGCCATAGGAACGGGGGTGGCGTTATAAACCTCTAGGCACAATGCATCCTGGGGAAACTTGCTTTGTACTGAACACATAAACCGAGGCATTATTTTCCATGGATTTTCCTTCGTAAACCAAAAATTATGTTAACCGAGGCATTCATAAACCGAGGTACACCTGTATAGTAATTAAAAATCGTGTGCTGTCAATTCACTTCTAATTTATGGCAAACCTTTCCAGGTTTTTCTACTTAGAAATGCCCAGAAGTGGTTTACCATTCCCTTTTACTGGGGACACTTCTAGTTCTGTGCAGCTTGCCCAGGACTACACAGGTTGGCTCTTCTCCCAGGAAGCACAGTGGGGAAGAGTCTCTAATTCCTTCTGGACTGAAGCATTTTGATTAACAGTTTTGCTCTAGAAAATTTATTGATGTTTACATAATTTACCATTATATCTCTGTGCTACAAGATCTGTTTGACAGTAAACATAAAAAGATCTGGAGACCTCTTATGGCCACAAAGACTTCTCCAACACTGGAATGATAGTTCATACTCAGAATAATACAGTCTTGCTAAATCACAGTCCGTGTCTGTTTTAGCACAACAGACAACTGCTAGACACAAATTTACTAATCTGGACTGGATATATTTATTTATTTTATTAATCCCATCACACTACAATGGGAACAAGTCTCTTTTACACTGATATATATGCTTAGAAACTTGTTCTCTTGTAGAAATTGGGTCCACTCTACTAAATTTTTGTTTAGCACTAGATTACTTCTATGACATGTTTGTTACTAAAAGCAATCATTATACTCTATTTCAATTCACACCCTTTCCCACTCTTATCTTATTCTTCTATAAGCTGTCGTGGGGGCATGGGGAGCCTTTTTAAAATCTAAGTATTCATTTATTCTAAATATGGAATAAATCTAATATTTATTGAATTAAGTACCATTTATTACTGTTAAACATCTTTGATTTCAAACAGGGAAATAAATAAAGTGCATAAACCTATGTGCATATAATTTGTTGATTTAGCCCATGTTATTGAAACTATGTCAGTTAGTGCCTTGCTGCTTCCTGAATATCCAATTGAGCCCCCTCCTCAGTCAAGTTTCTGGGATTTACTAGACCACATCACAACATCCTTTACCAAAAGAGGAGGGGAGAAGAGATTAGACCATTAGTTCAACAAGTGCCAGCTTTCATGTTTGCATGATGTAACTACAGAAGCATAAATGCTATACAGCTTCAGATAATACATGGTAACATTCAGGTTTAATAGAGTTTATGCTACAATTGGCTGAAGTGCAGATTATGGTAGTGGGAACAAAATGAAGCTTCAGGAGAAACTCAAGTTTCATTTTAAATAAGAGCACTGTAGCATTCTCTATTTATTTGATCTATGGTCTATATTATATTATGTAATGGTTTATGTTTGTTATGTAATATAATGGCTTATAAATATTCATGTTGCTGAGAGGCGGAGCCGAGAAAGATTCTATATGAGGCGGAGCCTGAGTCAGTCAGTCAGTTAGTTAGAGAAATGTAAGAGTCAGGCAGGAGAGAAAAGCCAGACAGAGTAATAGTGTGTGTAGTTTGGGAAATTTAGGTGTGATTAGCTACTGAAGATATTTATGAATCTCTGTAATCAATAAACCAAAGTTTTATTTAAAAGAACTTGAAGTGTGGACCTGAATCTTTCTGAAGTAATGGTGATTTAGAGAGCATCTGGTGGCAGTAAGAGAGTGTTTGCCTTCGTGTGCTCTGAGGCTTGCCGGTCAAGCAAGGGGCACAAGGGTGGATGCCACAAGCACTTTTAAAATCACTTTCAAAGTACTCTTGAAAATCTCTGAGCAATGCCACCTGCTGCATAAGATTTTCATTCATTGGTCAATTCAGAGCTTTACTGACCAAAACAACTTCTTCCAGCACTCTTTTTTTTATTATCTAATAATGTAAATTATGAAAGACCATGTAAATGTGTTAAATGTACATAATGTTGTAGATTGCAGAATTTTTGTTTTCTTGGTACATTTTTAATTTTTAGTGTGGAGATGTTATCGCTGTGATTGGCAGACATTTGAGCAAGGCTCATGGACAGGATTAAACAATATTTTGTTCAAATACTGGGAAAAACACAAGCAGAATAAGAATACATTTAAACTTCTTTAAAGGGCCTAATAGAGAAAGGCAAGCTTATTTAGCTCTTTAGGATTCAAGGTATTTTTGATTCTGAAAAAAAAAAGATCTTGGTCTATGGGGAAGTTAACAGATTGTCCTCACAGTGTTGCTGCTTCATTTCTCTTTTGTGCACATACAGAATCACTTTCTTTTAACAAAATTCCTTTCCCTGGACAAACCTGATAGTCACAGTGACTCAGGAGCCCACCCAGACAAAATACTGTCTCACAAGAGAACTGTGGCACTCAACAACAAGCTCCTCTTTTCTCTTTCCTTCCACTCTCTGCCATCCTCCGTCTTTGGATCCTTCACCCACAGCTTACTCTGTCTCCTTTGTTACACTGCCTCCTGGATTATACCCTCCCCCTCTCCCCCCCCCGGTCAATCTCTCAGCACTCTATCCCTGCCTCCTGTCAATACTTACCTGTCGGCTTGGGCACATCCTTACTGCCCATATGTGTGCTTAGACAGGGTTCAAGCAAGTTTTCTTAATATCCCTTTTCCCAGACCGAAACAAAACCCAAACCTGTGGATTTCCATATAGTCTCCCCAACACCCCACAAAGCCACATTTATCTTGTGAATGTTAGGCATCTTTGCAGGGACGAGGCAACAGTTTGACTATATTACCCTGGCTTGAATGGCTGTGAGCTGGCCTCAGTTCTCCTTATAGTCCTCTACCTGGGTTCAGCTATTCATTTTAGCATATGAAAAACAACGTAGAAGTCTCCATTTAGGAAAACTGCTGAGGTGGAAAGCAAAGCTATATCCTCTCCTTGGGGTGTTTAGCATACAAAGGACTCTTACAGGAGATGGGAGCTGAAGCAGCTACCGTATTTGCCGGTGTATAAGGAAACTGGGCGTATAAGACGACCCTCCAACATTCCCACTCAGAATGTAGAGTTTGTTATATACTTGCTGTATAAGACTACCCCCCCCTTCCGCATGCGTGATTCTGCTTTGGCTGCATCATGGGGAGAGTTCCTTTTGCCCCTTTTGGTTCCTTTTCGGAGAGAGCCAGGGTTTGCTGAAAGAAGGAACAGCAGAGAGGCGGCAGCCATTTTGGAGAGGCGGCAGCCATTTTGAGAGGCAGCAGCCATGTGGTTGCATCTCAAAATGGCTGCCTCCTCTCTGCTGTTCCCAACAGTCAGCTGTTCGGTGCTAGAGTCAGGCTGTTCCCAGGCTAGGAGTGGGGTTCTACTCGGTCTTACTGCCAGGTAAGTGACTTCGCTGGGAGAGAGGGAGGGTTTGCTGGACATGCACCCAGCATACAAGACGATCCCCCACTTGGAGGCATGTTTTTCAGGGCCAAAAAGTCATCTTGTATGCCGGCAAATACGGTATGTTCCTAGGAAGTCCCTAGAAATGAATGACATTTTCCAAGCATTTCTTTCAAACACCTGCAAATGCCCTACAGCTTTTACACATACAGTATCAGAAGAAAAGTTTACAATATTTCTAACCATCATCTCATACAATTATCATTTCTAAGCCTAATGCAGAGAATTTCTATATCTCTTGATTCATTGGGCCTCTCTCCACAGTGAAATTCACCCACGAAATCAGCTTCCCAATTTAACTTCCAGTCAATGAGTAATGGCATTTTTATAAAGTTATACCAAGTGATTCAATAATTTATATTTGCCATTTAATCTTTATATCAGAACATCGTAGTACTTG